TATATATTATTTTGATATATATTATATATATATATATATATATATATATATATATATATATATATATATATATATATATATATATATATATATATATATATATATATAATATATATATATATATATATATATATATATATATATATATATATATATATATATATATTATTTATATTAGATCCTATTTAAAAATAATATAGTCTCTCAATTTTTTGTGGCAACGTTGGTTTATTAAATAATAATAATTACAGAACTAATTTGTTATATTAACAACAAATTTTAAAATCATGAAATATAAACATTTATTAATTTTCTAAGCGTGCAGTGTAATGCAAGGAAAATATAAATAAAAATTAGAAATCAAAATTATTTATATTCGGTACTTTATATTACTATTTAATAATAATAATATTTACTTTTACTGGTATTTACTTACTAAAAAATAAATGAAATATTTCTTCGCAAAAAACTACATGTAAGAGAATTAGCATAAACAAAATACAAACATCGTTAACTTTTTTTTAAATTGGCACGTGTAAAACTTTTAATTTAATTTTCTCACCCCATAGTCTGAGTTCGATAACCATTTACTTAACCACATTAATTAATATAATTATTAAGTTCAACTAATTCATATTATTAAAACATCTAAAATACAAATATGTATTTTTAAAATTAATTGTAAGTTCATCTCATCTCTCTTAAAAATTGCTACTTCTCAAAATTTCCCATTAAAAAATAGACCATATACCATATAAAATTAAATAATTGAAAGATCGGGCTACGGAAAATCACACAAACTTTCGGAAAAATTTTGACCACCTGCACACGCACACAATCGTCAATTAAAAAAACTACTATTTTAGTATTTTAAATATTTTAATAAACGCAAAAATAGCACAGTATTTATAAGGCGAAGTTATAAAAATTTGGAAGAACTAATAATGCACTGACGCACACAAAAATCAAACGAATACTAAATTTCATTTATCAAAAACATTCGATAGTCGTGGCTCAACGATAACCATTTAGTCACACGGCGAGGTTGTCACATATGCTTTAGTATACAAATGAATGAATGATTTTATTCGAATAAAACCATTCGATAGTTGAAATCATTCATTCAGTAACCATTCGATAGTCTAATTCAATCGATAGTTCCCATCGCTAGTATTAAATATGTTCAATGAAAAACACTATGGAAAATTACAATATAAATAAAGCTATAGAAAATTAAAAAAAGGTAGCATTACTTTAATTAATTTGATATTATTCTATATGATCTGTCAAAATGACGCTATTTTTATATAGAAAGTAATACTATTACAAAAGGTAATGTTCGTACGAGCTAAAGATCTAAATCATATTTTAAATACGAAATCGACATAAATAAGTTCTTAACCATCTAACCACTAAACATGATATGTACGATATTATTTAAGACTGACATGTAAAACGTAAAATCTAAACTTAGAATTAAACTTATCTGCTTGTTCTTGAGGTAATCCTGTTTCAAAGAGTAACAGCGTGACGTGGGCTCGTATCTCTGTAGTGTCTCTCGGCCAATACAACAAAAAGGGGCCAGGATGAGGACACCATGAACCAATCTGGCCGTAACTACTGACTAGGCTTAAAAACAGGAACGAAGCAGCATGGGGCCTACGCCACATCCACGCTGGGGCACTCTGTACATAGGATAAACTATCCGTACAGTGGACACTCGTCCATCGGACACCTGTCCATAGGAAAACTATATATGGGAACACTACCTGTACCTTGGAACACTACTAGGACCTTGGATAATGCCCATACCTTGGATACTGCCCGTACCTTGGAATCAATACATATATATGGGACACCTGCCCATACCTTGGACCCTAAAAATATGAAACTCCGCCAAGCGTGCCAAATAAATTATCAGGCCTGAACGATACGGAATCGGGTGACGATACGCCAGACATCATATATCATATATATAAAAAAGACATGTAACGAACTAAAAACGTTACAAGCTGTTGTTACAATATTCTATTAATTTTACTTGTGTTTTTTAAATATTGTGAATGATCGCAAACTAAGTATAAAGAGTAAAGTAAAAAATAAAAGTATAAAGTGTAATTGACACCACTAATTTATTCCACTAATTGCGAGGTTCTGAATGAAGCTTAATTTCTACTAACTGAAAATTACTACCACTAATTTTTACGTTCTGAATGCTTACTTTGACATTAAAGGAACAAACTTCTACGCTAATTGAAACCATTAATTTATTGCACTAATTGCGAGGTTCGGAATGAAGCTTTAGTGGAATTAATTAGTGGCTTCAATTAGCGTAAAAGTTTGTTCCTCTAATTTATTAGTTAGAAATGCTAGAGAACAGGACTATCACATCGGAGATGGGAAACAGCTCAGCCAAAAAGTGTGCAACAAGAGGCACGCCACAAGGAGGGGTATTATCACCTCTGCTGTGGCTGATTGTAATGAACCCGATCCTGACCTCTCTGACAATGAAGGGAATTAGGATAAAGGCATATGCAGACGACGTGGTAATATTGATCGTTGGCAAAAACTTGCAGACGATCAGTGACATCATGGAATCTGCTCTGAAGGAGCTAACGGAATGGGCAAAAAGGAATGGTTTGGGCATCAACCCAGACAAAACCGAACTGATTCTGTTTACAAGAAAATACAAGATACCCAAGTTCACGCTACCAAAGCTGGAAGGGAAGACACTTGTACTTGCTAAGGAGACAAAATAATTAGGATCAATCTGGACTCGAAGCTTTCCTGGAAAAGGAACACGGAGGAAAGGATTATAAAGGGAATAAATGCATTCTATACAACTATTGCAAATGCATGTAAACAACTATTTGGAAAGAGATGGGGTCTGCAACCGTACATTATACACTGGATGTACACTGCTATAGTTAGACCAATCACCACTTATGGAGTACTAGTATGGTGGCAAGCGGTACTTAAAGAGACTATTAGAAAAAGCCTCACGAAAGTACAGCGATTAGCAGCTCTAGGTACAACTGGGGCAAGGAACAACACAGCGCAAGCTGCGCTAGAAGCAATTCTGGACTTGCAATCAATCGACTGGCTCATGAAGGATCTAGCCGCTAAGGGTGCCCTAAGATTAAGGGAATCCAATCTGTGGAACCAAACCAACTACGGTCACTCGAGGATATTGCCAGTGATAGGAAAAACATGGTGAACACGAGTCCACATCTGCTAGACCAGAAAACGGACTATATGCTCACCAAACATGATTTTGGAGAAAAGATAAGAATTCGCATTCCGACAAGAGAAGAATGGGAAAGCAACCGAGTAATGAACACTCAAGAGATAGCAGTCTACACAGATGCTTCCGCAAATTCAGGGGGCACAGGTGTGGGCATCTTCTCAGAGAAACTAGACATCCGACGATCTTTGAGGCTATCGGATGGCTGTAATGTTCTACAAGCAGAGGTTTACGCCATAAAGGAAGCGGCTAGTTGTATACGAGAGAAAATTGCTGATAGACCAATAGGGGATATAGTGATATACTCTGACAGCTTGCCCGCATTAAGAAGCATCACCATGCAATCAGTGAGATCGAAAACTGTGATGGAATGCCGAGAAGCACTGTCCTGGCTGCGTCGGGGTGGGGCTACTCTGTGCTGGGTGCCAGGCCACAGCAATGTGGTGGGCAATCAGGAAGCAGACAGACTCGCCAAAGACGGGGCCAGGGGAGAGGCCGTGGCAGATGACCCACCACTTTTGACGATCAACACACTGAAGGAGGCTATAGGAACTGCCATCAAGGCCAAGCAGCAAGAGACGTGGCAACACCGTGAGGACTGTGCTACAGCTCGAAGACTATGGCCAGTGGTAGATAGCAAAAAGACAAAACAGCTACTAGAGCATAAAAAGGACCTAGTACGCATAATTGTAGGTGTCGTCACTGGAAACTGTTCCACGGGGGTAAACCTCGTAAGATGGAAAGTTTCCGACGACGACTACTGCAGAGAATGCGGAGAGGAAGAAGAAACCATAGAGCACCTGCTGTGCCACTGTCCGGCACTGGAATACCGACGCATTAAAACTTTAGGGCAAGGTTTTTTGGAGGGACTAGAGGAAGCAGCAGAAGCCAACATCAGCGACATCGGGAACTTTGCAAAGAGCTGGAAGTGCTTTAACGCAAAGAAAGAATGAGAGGAAGGTTTGGTAAAACAATACAGGGGTATCGCAATGGGCCCAAGGCCTCCGAGTGAGGGATCAAATATGATCCCAAACCCCAGCAACCTAACCTAACCTAACCTAATTTTCAATTAGTAGAAATTAAGCTTTATTCAGAACTTCACAATTAGTGGTATAAATTAGTGGTTTTAATTTGCAAAATTAGTGGTAGACATTTTCAATTAGTAGACAACGTTATCAAACTTTTAACTTTTCCACTAATTATACTTCAAAATTTGCGAGAAATGTCATTTTGGCCTTTATTATCTTCCGTCAAGACAAATTGTGGTCAGAAATCAAAAGTTGATTGTTTTATAAGTTAAATAATAAGCTTTCTGTATGGATACAACTGACTAACGCAACCTGTTGCTGGGATATTCTATTAATTTTAATTGTGTTTTTTAAATATTGTGAACGATCGTAAATTGAAAAGTATAAAGTGTAATTGAAACCACTAATTTATTTCACTAATGGCGAGGTTCTGAATGAAACGCAACTTTTTCTACTAATTGAAAGTTTCTACCACTAATTTTGACGTTTTGAATATCCAAAAATGACGTATCATAATATTGATTTTGTGTCTAATGTATTACATTTTTTGTTGATATTTCGAATATATTGATCAGTCCTTGTATATTAAGTTTTACATATCGATGCAAAAATATTTAATTTTACTTAATCTGATACATTTTTCGAAATATTTTGACCATAATTATTTCTTTTGCTTCAAAACATAATATTCCTAGTAGAAAAAAAAGGGAAAAAGGTGTAATACTTACCAGATTTAACCGTTTTTCTTAAAGATGCATTCTTCGTCAAATCTGTCTCATTAGGCTTCTCAGCAAAACTACTCTCCCTCTTCAACACCGACTTGGGCCTCTCCTTCTGCACAACTTCCTCAACATCCTCCTCAGCCTCCTCTTCATTATCGCTTCCTCCAGGACTCACCAGCGACACCATTGTCACGATCTCCCCAGGATTAGCCACGGCATTACTCCACTCTTTCACTTCAACCTCGTTTTTGGTACCGCTCTCGTCTTTATTATATTTTTTCGCACCTTTCATTTTTCTCTTCGTAGCCAGAAATTTGCTTTTCTCTGGCCTGGAACTCGGTGCCGAAGACGATCTAACTAGGGGAGGTCGAAATACTGGTTGTTGTTCTTTGAGAGTACCGTGAAACGCTGAATTGGTACGTTTATGGAACCGTTCTCTTCGTGATTGAGCTGTAACGGGTCGTATTATAACGTTTATTCCAGTGGATTCGTCGTTATTATCAGATTTTGAGTCATTATTATCAGCATTTTTATCTGGTTCCTTTTCAACCAACGGCACTACAACAATTGTACTGCTTTTTGGTCGCGTTCTGGGCGACTCAGTTTTCTTAAGAACGTTCTTTTTTAATCGGAAAGTTCTATTGTACTCTGAGTCAGCTATTAAAGGCTGTAAAAATTTTGGCTGTGTTTTTTCATTCTGTGATTCCTCCTCGCACTCTTTTGTACTCGGAGCAAGGAAAATCTCCAAATTTGGCTTTGTCTCAGCTTTGTTCTCTTTTTCAAACTCTTCTTTCTTTGCTCTAAATCGCTCTGCCAGATCTTGTCTGGAATTAAGAATAGAATCTTTCTCTAAAGATGCGTGTCTAGTGAGTTTACCTCTTCTAATTTCTTTGCATTTCTTCACTACTACCGGCTCATCTTTGATGTCTGTGGCGGTCCAGGCCATTTTTATAGGAGGTGGATGATCTGTTGGAAGTTTCTTCGTTTTGGCATTGAGGGAAATACGGATTTCGGAATTATGGTCTAAAATGGAGGCTTTTATGTCGGATATGTCTTCGGAGAACTGCTTGGTGAGGGTTTTGCGTCTTTGGCGGGCTGATGGGGGGTCGTACATTAGAGACATCTGTCGGAGCGGGGGTGATTTTTTTGTTGTGGACATATTGACTAAGTGGTGTTGCTTTGTGAACTAATTCATCTGTAATAATAATGAATTGATGTTATTTTGTGATGAATAGGTCTAGTTTATAGTGAATAATATTAGAGAAATATAAATAGGTAATCCATAATCTAATTCCATTAACGTTACTAATTTAACATATTATTATTTAATTTATATATTTTTTAAAATTTATATTATACATCTTAAATAAGTGCAAATATTATTAGGGTCTGTATATTCTATGAGGTTTTTTCGAAAAAAAAAATATTGAAAATTGTGCATTTTCTTTTAAATTTTCCTAAAATATTTTTAGAAAACTTTTTAGAACTGCCTGTTCATCGCAAATTTTCCCATGGTATAATTTCTTAATCTCTGATAATACCATGGTTACGGCTTTACTTGAGGGTTACTGCTCTAAAAACGATGCGAAAAACAGAAAAAATTCGGTGGCTCCCAATTTTTTTTAAAGAAATCATTTTTTTTTAATTTTCAAACTTGAAGAACTCGGTTGTTTGGACTTACTTGAAAAACGATAGAAGAAAAATATGTTCCTTTTATCGAGATCTACCAGAACTAAAAATATTTGCACTTGTTTAGGACTCACCCTGTATATTAGGCGTTCGAAATATGCAAAAATGAAATACATAAAATACGAAAGTTTCCATAACCATGAGTCAGGAAATCTATAATTTTAAAGATATATAGGATGTCAAAACTGTTAAAAAATGTTTGTTTTTTCAAACGTCACAAAAGTATTATTTTTTGCAACGTGATTAACAATATAAAAAGACATTTTAAGCCTAGGCATAAAATGAAGCACTTTTACGCCTAAGTACAAAAGTACGAAAATATATTATTAACTGACATAAAGTGTCAAATTCAACGAGCCTAACCATAGTTTCCCAATATATGAAAGTAATACCGGAGATGTAATACCTTGTATGCAATGCCTTGTATGTAGGTATTACTTTTAGATATTTTTATATTATCTGGAACGCTTGAAATTGTTTAAAAAAAAATTACTTGTGGCGTTTAAAAAAAATAGCATGTTCTATTCGGAGTAAAGATGACTTTTTGTGCCTCGCCTGTATGTCATATCTACAGCCTCGCCGCCAAAAAGTGTCATTTTTACTTTAATACAGTCTTTTGTATTTTATGCAAAACCGCAAAAATGACAGCTAAAACGTTTTGTTTAGACGTTAAATGTTGCCACATCGTGTAGGAGACACACTCAATGACATCGAAATAAAGATTATTTAGAGGTCATTGGACACACTGTTAATTGTAATATTGTCGAAACTTGTGCCAAATGTTAATTACAACGTTGGACACATCATGTAGAGTATGTTTCTCTTAACGTACAAAACGTCGAAATTACATTAATTACTTTACAATCAACAGTAACAAAGACAGTAAGCAAAGGAAAGTTGTTCTCTAAAAGCTGTTCGATGTTTTAATAAAAAAAAAACTAAGGAAACTTAACTTTTTCGTTGAAAAATTGAGACTTTCCGCGTTTCCAGGCAAAGTTTCTCTATTAAATTTCCATCTGTTCGTTTTTGTTTTCGTACGTGGCGTTTCACTTCCGTAGTAAGTTTTTCATTCAGTTTCGGTTTTCTGGCACCGGCATCGCCGAATCAACTTAAAAAAGGGGGGAAAATTACAACGTTGCCAGACGTTGGAGCGTTTTTCTTTGACGGGAATAGAAATTTTCAGAATAAGAAATATTTATCGACTAATTTAAAACTAATAATTGCCTGGAATTTGATATCTATTCCGGGTGCGTCTCGAAAGTGGCTCACCCCTATAACTTTTTTATTTTTTCAGTTCAAAAAACGAGATTTGGTATGTTAGTATATGAGATAAATTAGAATTGATTGACATATTCAATTGTTTTTGGTGACTTCTTGTTTCAGCGGAAATGACTAAAACTTTTGATTTTTAAATGGCATCCTCGGTATATTTCTACTTTATTCGATAGAAAATGACATTCTGAATAGAATGACACATCACATGTCAACTTTTGACATTTTCGCTTAAAAATGTATATTATTTATTATTTTATTTTAAACGTATTTTAAATTTCAATCTAGAGTGCCATGGCTATGTTAAAAACACTAATTTTTAATCGAGGAGCCTCGGAAAAATAGATTTGATCGTCTAATGTTTTTCGTGTCTTGGCCTGGCCGGTTAAAAGATGCTCAAATCGTATTTTTAATCATATCTCAATAATTATTTCAAATGGAACAAGGGTGGCTTGTTAGCATATTTTGAAAAAGCATTTTTTACGAATAATTTGGTACCACACACTTGGTTTTTCGAGTCAAATTGTCGTTATGAACGGCATGTTACAATTTCAAATTAACCATAATATCCGAAAATGTCAAAAGTTGACATATGATATTTCATTCTATTCAGAGTGCCATTTTCTAACGAATTAAGCAGAAATATACCGAGGGTGCCATTTAAAAATCAAAAGTTGTAGTTGTTTCCGGTGAAACAGGAAGTGACCAAAAACAATTACATACGTCAATCAATACTAATTTATGTCGCATATTAATATACCAAATCTGTTTTTTTATCTGAAAAAATAAAAAAAAATTGTAGGGGTGGGCCACTTTTGAGACGCACTCGGTATAAAAAATATCACTGTTTACAGATGTATTCCTAATGACTTTTATCGTTGTGTTGAAAATAAAAGATGGCTCTGGACTAAGACAAGTCTCGCTTATCACTAACCCTTGGTCTAAAATGAGTTTTAAAAATGTCAATATCTATATATTAAAATATCTTCAGAATAATTATTGTAAGTTATTGTTACACTAAATTAGTTTTGTCTCGTTGCGCTGGTTTTGTCACCTTTGGTCATTACCAACCGAGTTTCTATATAAATCATCTGCTAATATGATTAGGTTGATTTATCTATTATTTTATTTTTATTTATAAGAATTAAAATTACCTCTTATTTTGAAAATAATTACTATTTTAATTCTTTTTATTGTTTTTGTAATTGATGCTTCTGGATACTATTGTAAATTGATTGAGATATTTAAATAAAATACTACAAAGTGCTTTACGGTGTAAGAACAAACTTTATTGTGCTAATATACAAGTGTAAATTCTGCAGGGATGAAAAACATTACCATACTCTCTCTCTCTAGTTGTGCGAATCTTGTTTGGAGACGTGGCAACGTTGTGCAGGGGCGGCGGCGTGATGTTCGCCCTCCGCTCGACGGGGTTCGACTGAAACAATTCGGGCCCGCCACATGTTCTCCGCCGCCACCATCGATCACCCCCCGCCCCTCGGTCGCCCCATATGTCTTTCCCCCCTTTTGGAGCGTCCTGTTTTTTGTTTGTTTAAACGGCACGCGCTCCCCTTTTTTTATTGCTTTGTTTCTTAACGTTTTTTTTGTGGTTTTTACGTTTTAAGTATCTTAGCTATTCACTTGATTGGCTGGTAACTGTAGAGGTGGGTAAAATTGCTATTTCTCAATCACGTTGGAACTTTTATTATTATTATTTCTTAAGTATACCAGAATTCTGTTTTTTATTTTTAAACAGTCAAAATATCAAAAAGAATTCATCAAGAGCTAGTCATTAAAAGAATTGATGTCAAAAGCGTTAAGCCTTAGCTCATGACTCATGGCTACACAGAAAGCTATTTTTGCGTGTGAAGCGTTTTTTCATCTTTTTTATATATTAAGCATCGCTAAACGCTTTTGGTCGTGCCACTCTTATATAATTCTGTTATTTTGTTTCAGTCGCAAAAAACGCTTTAAACGCAAAATCGCTTCCTGTGTGGCCGTGCGCTTAAAGGTACGTTCAGGCTGAGAGCGTCGAGCGTCGCGTTGCGTTTGCGTGGCGTTCGCGTCACGCCGAATTCAGGCTGGAAGCGCCAGTTCAGCGTCTTGTGAGACTTGTAAGAAATCATTGTTGGATACATGTTATTTATTTTAATGTAAATATAACGAAGGAAACATTTTTGAACCTTCTTAATCTCGTTACTGTGAGTGTAACAATTGGGAGACCAGATATTTGACGCATATTCAAGATGCGGTCTTACAAGAGAGATATAAAGTCTTATAGTTGATTATATATCGAAATCTTTACTATTTACTTGCAAGGATATGATCTTTATATATACCGGATGGTGCATCAGCGTTGGAAGCAGAAAATCCATGAAAATTTTGAACTGTTAAATATTTCCTTATTGATTTTACACCGAAGTCGTAAATATATACCAAAAACTTTTAGTTACGTAATCGAGGACGCAATTTTTAAATTCATTGTTGCCAACCATGGACATATATATTTATTTCCTGACATTGTCATTCGTTTTGACACTTCAGTTTTGTATTACGAGTTTTTGGTTTAAATGAATTGTGTTGTGATACTTTAAGCTTAAATTTTTTTACTAGCAGGTATTGCAGAACACATTTTTTTAGAATCTCTTTTAGTGCGAAGTGCACAAGATAGCTTAATAGCCGTATAAAACTCATCGCAACTTTATTAGAATATTTTGAACGGGAAAGCGGTAGTAATGTCCCTATATGTCCCTTAAGTGTTGTTAAGAAGGTGAGTTTTGTTGATGTAAATAATAACTGTTTATATATTTATAATTAATTTATTTTTGTTTTCTAAAATATTTTGATTAAAAGAAAATATGTAATAGTGGACAATCACGTGACTAAAAGTTTATTTGATATGAAGGATATAGGTATATCAGGTAGAGTATCGAGTCTATTTTCTTAAACAAGAAATAAACTACAGGGTTGTTCACCACATACGACACGGAGTATTGTAGCTAAACGATTAGATTTTTGCCAATTGTAAGTTTTGGGTTCGTTGAAGCACTATTAGAGCTACAATTTAAAAATATTTTTACAAGATACAGTGTACCAAATAAATAAAAAAATATCAAAGTTGATTTTTTTTAAATGGAACAGCCTGTATATTATTACATTTTTAGTTTCTACGATTAAAATAAAGGTTAGTTTGATTAAAGTTTATCGCATATTAATCTTACCGTTTTTGAAATATTTAGGTTTTTTGTCAAATTACAGTAATAAATTTAATGCTTCATTTGTCTAGGCGTATTTAAGTTTCCAAAACCAAATATTATACTGAAGTATTTATATTTACTAAGTTTTGTGTTGCAATAATAAAAATTATACTTACTTATACAGAGTGTCTAAAAATTTATTTTAAATAATTACTAGCTTTAAACGGCAATAACTTGTTTAATTTAAATGGAACATCCTGTATATTTTATAAGAATCAGATGCATAATTTAATTGTCTATAAAATTGTATTATACCATTTTTTACCTATCTCTTCAAGTTTTCGTAGAAAATGCATTTTCTTATAATTTAGACCTCATTTATCAATATACCCATGGAATATTGACATTTTAGATTATTTTTAAAGATGTAACAAATTTTTAAAGAGTACAGATACTAATATTGTCGATATAATTCGTTTATTTCATTAAAAAATAAAAGAAAACTGTTTAAATATTTGTTAAAGAAAACCAATTAATATGGTTCCAGTATTCAAACTACATTAATTAACTGTTTGCGTTGATTAATCCAAATACTAAAAAACTGGATTTTGGATGTATAGTAGACAGTGCGGTAAAAAGTAACCCCTTAAAAATGTTATTTCATTTTTTGAGGATTGCTTATATATAACAAGAGAGACGTTCATTTTCATAACTTATTATTATATTGATTTCTGATTCAAATCCACATTTATTTACAATAATTTCTTAACTATCACACCATACCAAACACAATTAAGTATGTAATTAATGAATATTTGGGTAGAAATAATGGTGGTATACTCTTTTATATAGACTGAAATAGGTTTCTTTTTGTATACAAATTGTCTAGTAATATTATCGTTTTAACACCTGTACATTTGTTGCTTTAAAAACAATCTAAAATATTCCATGGGTATTCCATGGGTATATTGATAAATGAGGTCTAAATTATAAGAAAATGCATTTTCTACGAAAACTTGAAGGGATAGGTAAACAGTGGTATAATGCAATTTAATAGACAATTAAGTTGTGCATCTGATTGTGCTAAAATATACAGGGTGTTTTGCCAGAATATATTCTGCCATACATATGCCAGAATTTCCACAGACCCTCTCAAAAAATAATTCGCCTGGATTAATAAAACGGTAATAAAGCAGAGCGCCATCGCCACCAGACCAGCCCTCGAGATTAATAGAATGAAATAAGAAACCGTTTCCTGAATTAAAGATCCGATTTCGTGGCTGATTTAGCGGCGCGAACGGGGGGTTGAGGGCGGAGGGGTGATGGTGGAGGTGATGGTGGTGTCACCGCGGCGGAATTTAACGCTTTTCGCCGATCTGAATAAAGGTAAAGGAGGACGCGGTGAAATATCGGACCGGAAAACGGCCGTTTTTCTTTCGGGAAAATAGTTCTTTCCGACCTAATTCAACTTTTATAAGTCGATTTCAGGTTTCGGTCTCAATAACACGCTTAAGCTTCATTCAGAACCTCGAAATTAGTGGAATAAATTAGTGCTTTCAATTATAGATTATACTATTTAGTTTACGATCATTCATAATGTTTAAAAAACAA